CTACTTGGTTGCACTTGTGGTTTCGGAGGATCGACCGCGAATTGACCAAAGACCAAATGGTTTCCAACTGGTGGTGTCCCTCTGAACAAAAGCCATCATAATCTGTAATACTACTGATCAGTGTAACTATTGAGGAGGCAACATTGATGTTCGAAGATCATTTTGTTAAGAAGCCACTGAGTTGAAATTTCGGAGAAACAGTGAAATGATGGTGGTACTACGAAATTGGAACTTATGTTATAGACCTGAAGATGGTTATGGGGACTATGCTATGCAAATGTCATGATGTCCCAGTTTTTAGATTTTCACAAGTATTCGCACCACTTTTTTCGGTCTTACTGGGGAGTGGCTTTCAAAGTATATCATCGCCTTCACATTGCCTCCATACGCAGCAATGACCAAAAATTGAGAGTGGCGGAAAATGCAGCACGAGGATTCCAAGGACTTTTGGTATGCCCCAATGGGAAAGGAACATCAAGCAAAAGTGAGGGCTCTGTGTTGACAAGATGGAAAACACATTACACTATTACTGAGCAATAGAAAATGGGGCACGAAATAAATGAGCACAAGAACAACGCGAATGAAGCAACACATAGCCAACCTGGTAACTGGAGCCGTAGCACCGAAGGCAGGAACTGATGCCGATGCTCCCGGCAGCAACCCCTAAAAATTGGTCTTAGCTGAATAGAGAACTAAAGAAAAAATGCATAAGTATACCTGAACTTGACCAAGCGCTTGTTGTAGATAGGCGGGCGTTATTCCAGCAGGTAAAGCTTGCTGCGCAGTTACCTGAGCAGCATTTTGCTGCTGCTGAACAAGATTGCGTTGGGCTTGAGCCAGCTCTTGAAACTTTTGCGCTGCAAGCAGTTGTTGATGTTGAAGCAACGCCTGCTGGTTTAAGAGATTTTGGGCAGAAAAGTGCTGCGATAGTAAATTTTGTTGCGTCAGCAGGTGTTGGTTTGATATTAGGCTGTTTGCCTGTGCTTGTGCTTGAGCCTGTGCCTGAGC